TTTGTAGTTTCCTCCTTATATAGCTTCTAGGACATGCCCGTTCATTTCCCCAGTTTCTCTACTCATGGGCTTAAACTATTGTTTGTAAGATATTTCCCTTCCTTCCTGACTATTCATACCTAGTGTGTTTGGTCTCTCCAGTTGCAGTTACCTCACGTTAATTACCGCAGTGGCAAATTCTCTCCCCCACTTATTTCCACTGCTCACCGTCACTTTGGACAACTGGGGAAATGGTGTCTTGTCAAGCAACTTACTGCCCACAGGTCTCATTATTAAATTGTTCCATCTAACTGTAAGCAGTTCACAAATCCAAGTTTTGCCTTAGTGCAGAAATCTCCTCCCCCATTTGATCTTTTACTTCAATGTCTGCCATATCAAAGGTGGCTTTCAAGCATCCTCTCTTCAAACTGTCCAAAAGCAGAGCATCAAATGGTATATTCTGCCTCATTGTTAATGTCTGTCCATTGTTTTTCTGGCTCTGAAATCCTTTTCAGCCTCTCTTCATCTAAATTCTAATGATCAGATGTCATCTCTCTTGGAAGCCCAATGTTTCATTATGTCCAGAACAAGTTATTGACTCACTTGGTGGTGGTAGTGGCCATTGGCCTGTTATCCTTATCTAGAGCTAGAGCTTAGAGGTGCGGTTATGTTTGTCAGTAATATCTACTACTGCCATAATGTTGAAAATTAGTTGGCCAACTTTCTGTTCAGTAACCTCTATAATTTCTTAAGACTTATACTGTGAAGTGAACAATCATAAACTTCAAGAGTTTTGAACTTAGATTGACCCATTCTCTCTCAGGTTCTCTGGAAATCCTACATTGACTTTGAAATTGAGCAAGAAGAGTATGAGAAAACAAGAAACCTATACCGCAGGTTGCTACAGCGGACACAGCATGTCAAGGTAATGATTGTGTTCTCACAAATGATCATGTGTTTGAGATGCCAGTGTCAGAATGCTACTTATGGGGAATGTCTCTCTCCGCTACTTCAGCGGTATGGCATTTTAAAGTTAAATATCAACATTATTCTGTGGGGACCTTCGTGACTCAGGACACAAGTAAAGGGAAAAAGTTAGTCACTGTTCAAAGACATATAGAGCGAAGAGATCCATAAGGCCATCTACATATCAGAAAAGGATCACTCTGCAGAGGTTCTGGGTTATTAGGATTTATGGAGACAACACTGCTTCTTACCCCAGATTTCCTGAGCTTCCCACTTTTGGAAAATCACCATAATTTTATAATGGCTATAAAATTAATTAAAAAAAACAACAACCCTAAATCTGTTCTGCAGAGCATGTCTATTCTTCTGAGCAGCCAGGCCTCTTTAACTACAAAAATGGCAGCTGCTATGACAAACAACCAGACTTAGCAATGTGATTTAGATCTATGATTTGACTAAAATCAGCCAGGTTTATTATGACCAAATGTAATTGCCACCAGCTGGCTAAGTGGCTTACAAAAGGTGAATCGGGAGTGTTAATTCAGTATGTTATGGTTAGGCTACAAAAAATGGCAGAAAACAGAGACCCCAAATATAGAGTGAATAAAGAAAGATGCTTGTCTTCCACCTCTAATGATGCGGGGGGGGTCTCTAAAATGGGGTTTAAGGCAAGATTTCTACAACACAGACCTTCAGTCCTGTTCAAACTGTTTACCTGTTTAAAAGAGGTATCGACATATTCTTTAGTACTAAAATGGGTCCTCTACTAAATATTACTCAGACACGAGTTTCATCTGGCTGGTTGTTTTAGTCCTGTGCACTGCACAGGTAGTTCCAGCTTGGCCACAGCCCCCTGGTTTTTATTTTAATTATATTTTCACAATGGAAGTTTTATTAGGTTTTGCTCTGCTTTTCCCCTAGGTATGGATCAGTTTTGCTCAGTTTGAACTTTCTGCAGGAAAAGAGGAAAGTTTGTTAAAATGCAGACAAGTATATGAAGAGGCTAATAAAACAATGCGAAACTGTGAAGAGAAGGAGGAGAGACTTATGCTTTTGGAATCCTGGAGAAACTTTGAAGAGGAATTTGGAACAGAGAGCAATAAAGAGAGAGTAGATAAACTTATGCCAGAAAAAGTCAAGAAGAGGAGAAAATTGCAGGCTGAAGATGGGGTAAGAATAAAGGCTGGGAAAATAACTTTCTATGATTGTAGGTGGCATGTTGTTTGGATACAATACATTATTATAATACAGAATTTAATTTAGTAGAACTATATGCATGGTGTTATTCCTGAGAATAAAGCTAAGGAAGTATATTCAGATCTCTCGTCTGCATGCACGCTCCCTTTTAATTACATGTAAGAGAAGTGACAACATTGACTGGCAGTGGACTCCAGGGCCCACTGATTCCTTAGCACCATGCTTGCTTGTTAGAGAGGAGTATTCCTGGAACTTACATTAATGTTTAGCTCACTGTGAAAGCAAGTGTGGGGTTCAGACCAAAACTAACCTCGGACTTATACTTTTCTTTTTCTAGTCCGATGCTGGCTGGGAGGAATACTATGATTATATCTTTCCAGAAGATGCTGCCAACCAGCCCAATCTCAAACTGCTTGCTATGGCTAAACTTTGGAAGAAACAGCAACAAGAAAATGAGGCTGAAGAGATGGATCCAGACAAGGACATTGATGAGAGTGAATCCTAGTACTTCATGTAGCTCCTCCTCCTCACCCCTTTATATTCAATTTTTGTACAGCGCGATTGACAGAATAAATGTATTTCGGTAACTTTTTAATACTGTTCTCTTGTTTTAGAAGAGCCCCAAGTATGTGATCCCTTTCTTACAAAAATCAGTATGAAGCTCAGCTAACAGTCTCTGATGACAGTAGCTAGAAACAGACCACACAATCTAATTGGTTTTCTAAGACTTCTACAGTGGGACTTCACATACTTTCATTACATGCCAGTCTGCATGTTTCACTTACCGAAAAATTAACACTTGACCACCACTGTAACAGGCAAGTTGAGTTTAACACTCTATCCAGCTGCAAGGTCGTTAGAATAGCTTGAAATATCTGGTTCAGGAAAATATTAGACCAGGACTCAAAAGCTGGATTTTATTCCCAACTGTTGCTGTGTAGCCCTGCAGGCAAGTCACTTCACTTCTCTGTAAAACAAGGGTGATACCTTTCCTACCTCTGTGCAGCATTCTGAAGCCTTCAAGATGGAAATTGCTAGTCAAGCCAGCTCATGTCAGGTGTCACACTTGACTCTAAAATTTGGCTTTTTAAAACGACTCAGCCTCACCTTTTCCCTTAATGAGGACACAGCTCTGGACATCTGAAGAATGTTTGTAGATCGAAGTCTATACTACGCTACCTTGGCATGTAAGATTTCAATATGCATGAGGAGGCTGTGAGACTGACTGGAGCGCTGCAAGATAATTTACACAGCTGGTTCTGTTCTCTTCCCACACAGTTTGATCTACTGTACAGTTAACACAAGCAGTATCCGAATGACTGTCACTTCTTGACTAGTTTAATCCCAAGTGACCTATATGCATTGTGACTTTTGCAGGGGGCAAGCGGAGGAAAAAGGAGGAGCTACTGACCTTTCTGTGCTTCATTTGTTCCCTAGTTCTCAGAAAAGACTTCCAGTTGTACATCTCAGGACCCTTTACTTCTAGGTGGGAAGACAGCTCAAGTGGGTTTACTAAAGATGGCAAGATTGCAGTAAAATTATTGATTTCAGTGATCAAACTAAATTCAAATCATTATTTGGATCCTCCCATGAAGGAAGTCTGAATTAGGTATTCTGCTCAGTTCTTATTCCCACTGCTCACTAAACAAAGCAAAGCACAGCATTCAAATTCTTATCTTAGAATAAGTCACTCCTAAAGCACAGCAGCACTTTAAACACCAACAAAAAACTTTTTGCAAGATTTATATGACTAAGAATGCATCTGCTTCTCTCTTCAGCAACAGAAGCTGCCATACACACTTATAAACCTCCTGGCTCAGCGCTCCACTAGCTTCCTATGGCATTCAAGACTTTGGACCTAGCTAAAATTACCTGAGGAATGACACCGAACCCTGACTATCCAAAACAATTTGTGTTCTGATGGAACCGCAGACCTGTCAACCACAAGAGGGAGACTTCATAGAACTTTATCAAGACTGCATTCCTGAAAACATTAGAGCACTCATGAATCTCACCACCAGCACAAAGCTTCTGCCTTTTAACTTTCCATCAATTAAAAATCTGCAAGGAGAAACTGTTAAAATAAGCTCTGCCACTGCACTGAAGATAGTATTTTAAATAACCTAATTAGATGGTAGCCTAAAGATTTACACCTTAGAGACTAACAAAAAATGTAGCTGAGGGCTATCAACATGCAGCCTGTTTGTTTGCAGCCCGCTGGTGGGAGCCAAAACAAAAAAGTAGTCAATATAACGGTCTTCTGTTGATACGCTTTTTAGTGGTTAAATTCCTGGACTGTCATTGCTCATTGAAAGTGCCGTCATATGGGTGGAAACTGGGTAAATACTGCATTTTATTAATATCAGCAGAACTGACTTAAATGGGGCCTGTGTGTTGTGTAGTCTTAAGCTATTTGCATGAATATGCAACCACACTTAAGTTGTGGCCCTCAGCATATGCTGAGAGTAACATTGTGGCCCCCAGGGCTTCCAAAGTTGAGTAGCCCTGATGTAGTTGGTATCATAAACTTTTGTGTTTTTTGTTAGTCTGTATGGTACTGCATGATTATTCTTTGTTTTATGGTAACAAAGGTGCCACCTGTCTGATTTCAGGACTTTCACAGGCCAAGCCACTATATTTTCTGTGAAGAGCAAATGCGTTTTTCAAAAAGTTTTAGAATAGTGCTGATTTACTGCTGTACAGTACACACACACACACCTGGACTGGTCTAATCATTAACTGATGCGCAATACCCCATTTTCTGCCAAAGTGGATTTTTACATGAGAAATCTAATTAGGAAAAGCTACAACAATACACGTGAACATGACATAAAATAAATAGAAAGAAAGCCATGGAATGACTTTACAGAAACCAGTATCGCACTGATTTTGTATTTTATTATACACTTCATCTTTTTCATGTCTACCCTTAGAATTCAACTGTTCATACAAAGGATGAACAAGAACGTTTGCAGCTGTGATTCTCAGGCCCAGGAGGAGGAAGTATTGTTATGTTCCAACACTGTGTTTTAATAGTGATGGAATGCTGAAACTTGTTTGCTTTTTATGAAGAAATCAAAATATAAACAGTGAAACTGTAAGCTTCCTGTTGTTTTTGGGACTTCATAAAAAGTAAAACATTGAGCCTACTTTTCTTTTTTAGGCATGTCCCTTCCTCCTCATCTATCCAAGATTTTTTGTTACCTTCAAAAACAATTGATGCTCTCTGTGCTCTAAATTTTAAGTTGTCCATAAACACTCTGGGTAAACTGCCTGAGAACCACAGCTTAAAGTTATTCAATGTCTTCTGGTCTCACAGGATGAGGTAATGGTATAATTGATTTCTTCTCTGTATCTCTGGAAAGTGCTTTCCTCATATCTGTTGACAAACACAAATGTTACTAATACTAGATGGACAACATTAAACAAGCCTCTATTAAGTTCATGTTCTTGCAGGTTATAATAAAATAAGCTTATCTTTTATGAGACATTCCAGTACTGTAAGACTGCAACAAATAAAATACAATTAAGTGCAAAAATGGTAGCTTTCATGCAATAAAGTCAAATTGCAGGCACTTGATGTAAGGTTGCTCCAAGAATGACCTGCCACATTCTATGTATTTTAGGATATACATTAATAAAATAATTACTTATATTTAAATGCAACCAAGCAGAACACATACAATATGAGCAGATAAAACCTTCTGGGCACAAATATAATAAAACTCAAATGGTGAGTGCTTGACATCTCACATATAATGATGCATCAGTGTGTTTGTTTTTTTAACATGCTACTTGTCATTAGTGAATGGATTTTTCAACCCTCAGCAATAATACTCAACTGACAACCAATTTTGTTGCTGTTTATAAAATAAATGCACTTTTGGGATGAGACAAAGAGTCAATTTCAGCCCGAAATGAATCTGCAAGATAAAGTTCTGTGCATATGAAAAGTGAGATTAGAACAGCAACTGCATTTCATCCATAGTTACTGAAGGCATTTCTTGTATTTGTATAATAGCCAAATAACTTGTTTTAACTATCAGAATAAATAAGCAAGTATCAATTAATAAGGTAATTCAAAACCAAATTTTTGTGTTGATACAAATACCACAAAGTATATACATATTGAAAAAAAATCAAATTATATAACTGAAGTGTAATTTCAAGTCAAATTTGTTCTTTAAAGGGACTGTCCAAAGGTATAGATTTGTGTACTTGATAAGCAATTGTCCAAGTTTGACTTTTTTGAAAATCAGACTAAGAAAACAAAAACATTGGAGCTTTCCACTTCACACACAGGTGGTGATTGGCTCCAACAGAGCAAAATACTTACCATAAGCATCTTCGTCAGGCTCCCCATTGCTAGCTGAGTAGTACTCAAGTACTGTCCTGTAGACACTGTATCCCAGTTGCTTGTACATATTTACTGCAACCTGATTCGACACTCTTACAAAGAGATCCACAAAAAATCCACCCTTTCTATGTAAAGGAAAAAACACGAAGAAAAAGAGCAAAAGATTACATTTCATAACATGAATCTGCTGCCGATAATCAGAGAGAAGAGAAATAATTCTTCCAAAATCCTGCACACCACACATCCGATTCAGTAATGATAAAGTGTATATGTTTTGTTATTTATACTACATAGGCAGATGTATTTTTCTGGGGTACAACTGAGGAATCTAGCCACAGGAACAATCTCAGGATTTCACACAATACACAACTCTACGGAGTGGAGTTGTGTACAAAGAAACACTAGGGTTATGGATACACTGATTTTTTTTCTGGGAGATATGCAAATTGCGCTCGCATTTGCATATCTTCTTCCAATTATTTTTGCGGAAGAGGTTTTGCTGCTATTTGGCCCTGTGTGTAGATAGAGGGTTTTTTTCTGACATTTGACCCTTTTGCAAGACCCTATAAATCTCGATTTATGAGGAATAAGGGGTCTTGCAAGAGGTTTTTTTTTTTTCCAGCGTCTGGCCCTGTACACAAGGCCAAATAGCAGCAAAACCTCTTCTGCAAAATGAAACAGAAGAAGATATGCAAATGCGAGTGTGATTTGCATATCTTCTTCCTGAAAAAAATGGCAGTGTAGCCATAGATTGAGTGAGTTATTTGATACGTTTTGCACTACAGAAGAAAGGGAGCAGATGTTTTTACCCATCAATTTGAAGACCCACATAAATAACTTTCCCTGCTAGCTTCATTTCTCAGACAAAAAGGGTCTAGAAATAACCGAGTCAAATGTTACCATTTTCTGTATCTCTGTTGCTGCCCACAGCGCTGCAAAAAATTGCAGCCCTTTTCCCTTGCATTATGCACATTTATCCTATTTTATACAGTTTATATGATCTACTGCTAAGCTGTGTCCTGATCATTTTGTAGATTTTAAATGAAAATCACACCACATCTACTTATAAAAAAAAACCCAATATTTTCAGATCACGTCAGCTTAGGAACACACGCACACACGCACGCACACACACACACTGAGCACTAAACTCACCAGTATCACAAGGTTAATCTGTTTCTCTTCTCATACTGTCACCTCTTTGAGGTAGGGACAGTTCCTAACCTGCCTGCACAGTGCATGCAGAATTGTGGGCACTGCAGGAAACAGTGTTGGCTCTTTCCGAAGGGAATCTTCTCTCTACCCAAGAACAGGCAATTTTTACACGGTGCACCTGCTCCCTTCCCCCTCATTCCCACAAACAGGCCTTCACAACAGCTAAGGAACACCTTAAAGTTGTCAGCTTCCATTTAAACTTTGCTCTCTGTAACCACAAGGAATTAGAACACCACAGATTAAGTGGGCCAACAAGATCTGTTTTTTCACAAGAAAAAGTTACTTAGAATTTGTAGATGGTGCTCACCTCTCTGAAATTTCCTCCAGTAATTCCATCAATTTAGCAGCCAAACCCAGTCGGCGGAACTCAGGGGCAACAGAGAGAGCCGTGACATGCCCGTGCCACTCCTCCCGGGCCACGGAGCCTTCAGCTTTCCCCATGACTGCAAACAGAAGGAGCATTTAACAAGCCAGCATACTGGAATTCATGTGCGCCATCGCCAGCAGGACAGCATTGCAAAGGAAATCCACTGACATCGCTGAAACTGCTTTCTAAAGCCAATCATTTTTGTGATTCTATAAATGCTGAGGCAGTGGGGTTTACATTTGAAATCCTTTCAGAATGACAGAATGAAATAATTTGATACTGGTTGGACCTTGCTGGTCCGGCACCCTCGGGACTTGACTGGTCTCGAACAAGGGGATTTGCCAGACCAGGAAAGATCCCTCTCCTTGTGGCTGTGCTGCCACCGGATCAGGGCTCCAGACTTCCCCCACCGCTGCCTCAGCCCCCTACAGCTCTCGCCAGCCCCACTACTGCCAGGGGCAGGCACACCACAGCCAGAGCTCTGCAGCCTCCTGGCTCTGCAGGCGGAGGGATGGGGCCAGAGCTCCTTGGCTGCTTCTGGGGTTGGAGCTCCCTGGCCATGGCCAGAGGTCCACGGTCGGGGCCAGGCTAGGGCTCTCTGGTTGCTGGGGCCAGAACGCCCCACCATGCCATCCATCCTCCTCCCAGCTGAGTTGCCAATGCCCCTTACGGCGGCGCTCCTGCCCTGCTTCCAGATCTCCCTCTTCCTGGGTTCTGTGGTCCAGCACGCCAGGCCAGGGAGTCCTGGTTAAGATACAGGTTGTACCTCCCTTAACCAGGACTCCCTGTAGTTACCTGCACAAACCTCACAGTGGAAACTATAGGGGGCAGCCAACTTGGAAATGTGATTCCCCCCACATCTGAAGGTTATGTAATTCTGATGTTACTAATAACCCTAATCACCAAAGCCCTGTTCCTGCACATTGTCCGTGGGTAGAGTTCCTTGCAAGATCAGGGCTTTATAACTGAGATTGGAGAAACTGAAGTGGGGACCAGCCAGTCATGTCACTGGCCAATATTGCTGCTGTTAGGGGCCAAAAACCTTTAACACTTGGAAAGAAAGCCTAGATCCTAGAAGAGTGAATTCTGCACAGATGGGGTCACTGGAGAAAAATATTTGTCTGGTTTTTTCAGCGTCTTTACTTAACGTTATTGGCAGCACTTTGTGCCTGACCAGCTTTGCTTTACAAACCGTCATTTGTGCTTGCTGTCTCATGCCCTGCCACAGCGACACCACTCACTCACTGTTATGTAAGGGACTGAATAAAGTGAATAAGCAGCAGGTGAGCATGTGTATAACAAAAGGGGAGAGGAGAACAGGCAAGCCTGAGTATGTTATAAAATGTTGCTCTCAGAGCCACTCATAAGCACTTTATAAATGGAGTAGGGGAGCAGAAAAACTATTTTAAGGAACTAACAACAAAAAAAGGAAATTTTAAGGAGTTCTACCGTGAATGTGCTGAAATTAGTTAAATCCAGTTGACTATGTCCTGTTAGTGGCATGAGTGTCAAAAAAAATAACATTTCACCTCACATGTGAGCAGAAGAATGGTGACCAAGGTCCAGTGCAGCGACAAAGGCTGTGATATTGCAAAGATGTACACAAATGTAACATTAGGCATGTGTCTCGCTGAAGCTCACCATTAGTCCAGCTCCATCGCCACACAAGGACCACCACCGCAAAACACAACCGCACTATTTATGAAATGCCCTTCAACATCGGTGAGGTGGTGTTGGTAATAACTGGTTAAAAATGAGAAGCTTCGTTACACCAAGCGTGCAATATTCCACTTACTGTAACCCATCAGCTCTCCACCCGGTGCTTCTGCAACAATAAAATACTCTGGCCAGTGAGCCAGATACTGTAGGTAAAAGGGTATCCCATACTGCAGCGTTCCTGTTAAGAAGTATACAGCTAATGGACAATACTACTGTCTTCTGTACACAGTGATGGACTGAACATGGCTTGCCACAGAATAGCACTGCAACAACATGCACTAACCATATGTACCATCTGTTGTGAGTCATTTATGCCTTCCTTTTATCCATATACTGGATGGACAGCCTTCTACTCAGATAAAGTAGATTCCTAAATTTGACTGTCCCCCCAGGATTTTAAAAGAAGAGTAGGGATTAGCCAGAAAATAGTCTATGGGAGAGCATCATAAAACAAAATGTTTTAAATATTATGATAGCAGAAATTACAGGTTAGAGTGGCTTTCAGGGAAATGTAAGGCCCTGAGGAACCTGTGCAAATTATTGTAATTTATAGTTAATTCACACAATTTTGATAAACTTAGTAAAGACCATATTATGGTTTAGGATATATTAGATGTGTGTAGTAATAAGAATTACAATAATGGGAAGAACCAAAGCTGCTGGTATCAACACCGTATGTATAGTACAATGAAAAGTTTTGTAAGGATACAGTCTCTGTAAGTGGATCCAAATTACTGTAAAAATAAGAACAGATTAAACTTTTAAAAGGTTTACAAAATATATTTCTATATGAATATTAATCTGATTAGATTTTACTTCCGAACAAAACCTCCCCTCCCCCACAAAAAGAGAATCTATCACTAGTGACAGGTTGCAGTACTGAATGAGTTCACCTAAGTGTGAAAACAACATTGCTAGAACAATTCAGACTATTTTATGTTGCTGTCACACGTGTGACTTCAAGCTCATATAAGCACATCCACTAGCTTTAACCTAGGTAGTAGGATAAAAACAACAGTGAAGATGTGGCAACTTAGGCTACGCAAACCCTCCCAGGAACATGGGTACGTATTGGCATTCCTAGCCCACGCCAGAGTCTTTGCTGCCATGTCTTCACTGCTATTTTTAGTCATGCTAACTAGATTAATGTCACACTGGTATGCCCACGAGTTGTAACCACATCTCCAACCACAGTACAGACATAGCTTGAGCATCCAGTTCCAATGTCAAAAATTCAAAATTTACCATCGGATAATACCACAATATCCCACAACCCTGATCTTGCATACTGATCCAAGCACCCTTATGTCGGCAAAGAGTTGCATTCAGTTTCAGAAGACTCTTGTTCACGTGGAGCATTATACTCTCACACTGATTCAATATTAGGATTTTGGCCTTAATCTTTATTTTTGTTATCCAAATTTTAAAAGCCTGTTGAAGGAGATGGGGACCATTACTTTCCAACATATTATAGTTTTCATACTGTATTATTTTCTCTTTGCTTTTCGTTATTTTCCCCAAAGCCCTTAGCTGGTGAGGGGACAGTTACAGTACCAGTCTTCAAACTAAATCTGGACATGTGATCACCTTCCTCTGTGGACTGCTTTTTTTTTTTTAAAAGACAAAATCAAAAGATAAGTTATTTGTTCTAGCGGTGCCTACAAGCATTACTCCTAGAACCAGCTCATAAAGGGATATTTTAGTGGCTCACTCTCTGTTCTGCATCAAAACTTCTCATTAGCCTTGTAGAAAAGGGTCCCATAGGTCAATTATGGATTGCAGAAAAACGCATTTGGAGAAAAATGCATTGGTTGGTTTTCAGTTTACCATCTCATACAATTTTTGTTTTATATGATCATACTTCTATTGTATTTATTATACTTCTGTTCTGCCCCCTTTTTCTCGATCCCCTCTTGAAACAGAACAATTCTTTTCTCTGCTCGCATTAAAGTCTGCCGGGCCGGTTTGACTTCAGCCCTGGTCACCCCATCTCAGGATGGTGGGGATGGTGCCCAGTCGATTAAGGAAAGGGGGTGACAGGATTCCCAGTATCAGTCTCTGTCCAATCCTTTACATTCGAATTGGGGGAGCGACAGGCGGG